CCCCCCCCTCCCCATAAATAATGGCCACTCCCTAAAAAAGATACCAGAAGAACCAAATTTTTCGGTTAACAACACAGCTCTACTGGTAGTCACCCACGCACATATATGATCAAATTATTTAATTTTCTGAACAAATTATAAACATAAAATACCTTTCACCAAAAATAAATTCCGTCCCTTGGGATGTATCCTCTTTGTAGATGGAAATTGTCGAGTGAAAATTTATATACATTTATTAGACCTGGCCAGGAACAGCTGCAAAAAATGCAAATTTAGAGATTAGATCCCTGGCAGGAATCGGCCCTGTGGCCCTGCGATTCCACCAACTGAGCTACATACAGGGGCCAGTTGTCGAGCTCTCATAGTCTTGTTCGACTGAGTATCCAAAACATTCGATGTGACCTTTTTGAAGGTTGCAGTAAAGTGATTACGTTTGCAATTTTTTTTGAAAACGTAATCACATTTTAAATTAAACAAATTTTGCTGATGCAACCTTTTTAAAGGTCGCAGTATTAAAGTGATTACGTTTGCAATTTTTTGCAAACAAATTTTGCAAACGTAATCATTTTAAATATTGGATGAATCATGCTATTTTTGTCAACTCAGCTGGTTTATATAAGTTAGGAATGTGTTGGTTTATATGAAATTTTCCTAAAACCAACAAAGATTGCGTGAGGATCGTAGAATAAAAGAAGCTGCAAAATTTGCATTTTTTATACTGGGTATTTCGATATGATTATACTGCTGTGTATGTGAAATATGATACGAACGCAGGAATGTATGTCGCTACCTCATTGCTACAGTATATGAATGTTTAAATACTATCAGTCTATCCTCACGCAATCTTGTATTGAAACTTGTAAGCCCTTAATTATGTCTATATTTAAAAAATTAAAATACATAAATATGAACACAGCTGATAAGTTTGAAATGCAACATGAACATTCATAAAGTGAATTTGAAAAATATATTTCTGAAATTAGCAATATAAAGCATCGCCAAGCTACAGTATCACAAAACTCAGAATTTCGGCTCATAGACTACCTGTTGAAAGTTGAAACAGGTCGATATTGCAAATGTTCAGGTCGTTGGATGAGGGTCGAAAATGTTCAATTCCGTAGCACCCCTCGTGTAACAACATATAATTTTTACATGAATCGATAGATTAGAACTTACTTTTTAGTTAGAATCCACTTCCCCCCAAGGAAATAGTTGCACAAATTGAAATACAGCCCCTCCAAGGTTCAGGCTTCTTCGTATTTCCAAATCCATGAACGGCCATTGTTGTTGAGTCCATACTACGCAAAGCTGTATTTTATACTGTGTAAAGTCCATACTCGATACTTTCAGATCAGATGCAGTATTGACCCTATTATTTGAGTCGCTAACCGTCATACCGCCGTCAAATAAACAATAAGATATAGCACTTGTTCTTCTATTTTTAAAAAAATCAGTTATCTGCGCCAAAAACAAATGAAATAAGACAAAAATTCCACTGCCACTCGATATGTTGAAGTGCCATATAATTTACTACAAGTA